TACAAATAAATCTGAGCACACATTGTCTCAGAACAAACCTCAACAGGCCATATCCAAATCTGTATTTCAAAGATTTCGAGCAAGGAACAACAACATGTTTGCATTGTCGGGCAAATGCATCTTTGACTGTAAACTGTCGGGAAGGTTGCTACCTTTTTAAAACAAATGTGACACACCGCCCGGCTCATTCAAGTCCGTAGGTTCGCCTCGTTGATTTGGCTTAAATCCAAAATATTCCCACACCAGAGATGTGGTATTAGGTTTTGTAACCAATTCCATTTAACTTCAAATTCCCCTCGAGTAAGTCACACGTTGTCTCTTGTCTCTAAAAGCACTTGAGGTGTAGGGAAACTAAATATTCTTCCTTAAGATGTTAAAGATGTTAAAAACAGACACCCATCAGACGGTTGCTCCTCTCTTCTCGCTCTTCTCTGTTTTCATTGTCAAGTTAAATCAGTTTTCTAAACCGCTCTTCTTCTCTCTCTCTCACAGCTACGTAATCGACGGAGCGACGGCCCTGTGGTGCGCTGCGGGCGCCGGACACTTTGATGTGGTTCGCCTCCTCCTGAGCCACCGCGCCAACGTGAACCACACAACCATCACCAACTCCACGCCTCTACGCGCCGCCTGCTTCGACGGACGCCTGGACATCGTGCGCTTCCTGGTGGAGCACAACGCCGACATCCGAATCACCAACAAATACAACAACACCTGCCTGATGATCGCCGCGTACAAAGGGCACGCTGACGTCGTCCAGTTTCTGCTTGAACGCGGCGCCGACCCCAACGCTAAGGCGCATTGCGGGGCGACCGCTTTGCATTTCGCGGCAGAAGCGGGGCACCTTGAGATCGTGAAGGAGTTGGTGCGATGCCAGGCCAACATGGTGGTCAACGGGCACGGGATGACTCCTCTGAAAGTGGCGGCGGAAAGTTGCAAAGCGGAGGTCGTGGAGTTGTTGCTGGAACACGCCGATTGCGATGCAAAGAGTCGTATCGAAGCGTTGGAGCTACTCGGCGCTTCCTTTGCAAACGACCGCGAGAACTACGATATCCAGAGAACGTATCATTACCTGCACATGGCGATGATGGAGAGGCATCGCGATCCAAACAACGTTATCGTGAAGGAGCTTCTTCCTGTCATCGAGGCGTACGGCGGGCGAAGCGAGTGTCGTACGATGTCGGACCTCGAAGCCATCAGAGTGGATCGAGACGCGCTACACATGGAGGGTTTGATGATACGAGAGCGCGTTCTCGGCTCCGATAACATCGACGTGTCTCATCCGATCATCTACCGCGGCGCCGTCTACGCCGACAACATGGAGTTCGAGCAGTGCATCAAACTGTGGCTTCACGCGTTGAGGTTGCGGCAGAAAGGCAACCGCAACACGCACAAAGATCTGCTTCGCTTCGCCCAGGTGTTCTCGCAGATGGTGCATCTGAAAGAGCGCGTTGTTGCGCCGAGCGTGGAGCAGGTGTTGAGTTGCAGTGTTTTGGAGATCCAACGCAGCATGGCGAGGGTTGAAACCGCCACCGAGGCAGAACTACCGTCGGCGCTGGACAACTACGAGTCCAACGTGTTCACCTTCCTGTACCTCGTCTGCATTACGACGAAGACAAACTGTGGCGAGCAGGATCGCGCGCGCATCAACAAGCACATCTACGACCTGATCCAGATGGACCCTCGTTCTCGTGACGGCGCGTCTTTGCTTCATCTCGCCATCAGCTCCAGCACGCCGGTGGACGACTTCCACACCAACGACGTGTGCAGTTTCCCGAGCGCTCAGGTCACGAAGCTGCTGCTGGATTGTGGCGCGCCGGTGAACGCCGTGGATCACGAGGGAAACACGCCGCTGCACGTCATCGTTCAGTACAACCGGCCAATCAGCGACTTCCTCACGCTGCATGCCATCATCATCAGCCTGGTGGAGGCGGGCGCGCACACCGACATGACCAACAAGCAGAAGAAGGTATATATTGATTTGTTTCGAATGTGTTAAATACTATACAAACTCAAGCAGTGTCAAATTGATGAACAAAAATATTGCATGCATACATTGTATAGAGCTACAGGGTAGATATATCAATGGCTCCTCCAACAGAGCAACACAATAAGACAGATACAATAGTTAAAATAGTGCAAGTAAATAGAATAGAAATAGAGTCTAAATACAAGTAATTGGAATATTTTGATTTGATTTATTTCGAATGTGCAAAACAATAATTAAAAAAAATTATAATAATGAAATAAAACATGAGAATTATTATACCGTACAAACTTATTCTAAATTATATATAAACAAATGATCTACCGAATTACACGTCTGAGAAAGGGGTGAGAAGAAGTTTACATTTATTTAATCCCACCCCTTCTCCCAAAAACTCAATTATTAACATTTAGAATTCAAGATTCAAGGCTTTTATTGTCATTAGTACTACAGTGAAGATATATCAATGTCTTAGGTCACAGGCTCATATATATATATATATATATATATATATATATATATATATATATATTTGTATTTTGTATTCGAGATTGTGGGAAACAGTATGTCGATCTCTCTGTACACACAAACTGAAAGATTGATGTTAGAAAAATCTCACTGGTCACCGGCTTGAGCTTCAATCTCAGGATCCATGTATTTATTATCCTCTCAAGAATGGAAGTAGTCGAAAACATTTTCTCAAAATTCTGACTTTTTCTCAAAATTCCATGGGAGGCGCCAGTCTCAGGACACCTCCACTCTGAGGACACCTCCACTCTGAGGACACCTCCACTCTGAGGACACCTCCACTCTGAGCACACCTCCACTCTGAGGACACCTCCACTCTGAGCACACCTCCACTCTGAGCACACCTCCACTCTGAGGACACCTCCACTCTGAGGACACCTCCACTCTGAGGACACCTCCACTCTGAGGACACCTCCACTCTCAGGACACCTCCACTCTGAGGACACCTCCACTCTGAGGACACCTCCACTCTGAGGACACCTCCACTCTGAGGACACCTCCACTCTGAGGACACCTCCACTCTGAGCACACCTCCACTCTGAGCACACCTCCACTCTGAGCACACCTCCACTCTGAGGACACCTCCACTCTGAGGACACCTCCACTCTGAGGACACCTCCACTCTGAGGACACCTCCACAGGACAGGAAGTGCCCGCTAAGAATTACAAAATAAAATCGCCACTTTCCAAACAGGAAATGCACGCAAATACAACGTAAAATCGTACTGACACCATAGACTGACATTTATATATATATAAATAGGGACACCTTGTATTGTTAACTCTCAGTACAGCGCCACTTTCCGAACAGACAAACAAATGCACGCTTAGACAAAAGAAAATTGCACTGACACTTATATCTATATATTTATATAAATAACGACATCTTGTATTTCTCTCTCTGATGGTGGGTTGCGTTTGCCATTCGATCAGTGAGAGGAGAAAAATGCAACAAAATGTGTCAAAATCCGTTAATATATGGATGAGTGGGGGGGGGGGGGGGGAACGGCTGGACACAGGCCGTTGGGGGACACCCGGGACCGGGCAGTGTCCCCGGTAGAAGGAACCAGGTGAAATAGCCCAAAAAAAATTAAATTAATAGAACCGGGGAAAAGTGAAAAAAAGTGTCAGAAAATAGGCACTCGTGAGACGGCAGAGTCCCCTGTCAACTCCCGTTACATTCTTCCATGGTGCCATTTGAGCGAAAAATGGCTAACTCAACTTTTACGAGAACCAGGCTGGGGGGGGTCAAAAGGGCTTGACCAAGGCCGACCCAAAGTGCATGGTGAGCGGACTCATCACCTCCGTGATGAGTCTCCATTGTGATTTGAAAACTTCCATCAGACGAGTCCTAAGGGGGGCGGGGAAAAAAACGTGTTCGTCAGAATTGTCACTTCCTGTCCTGAGAGTGGAGGTGTCCTGAGAGTGGAGGTGTCCTGAGAGTGGAGGTGTGAGAGTGGAGGTGTCCTGAGAGTGGAGGTGTCCTGAGAGTGGAGGTGTCCTGAGAGTGGAGGTGTCCTGAGAGTGGAGGTGTCCTGAGAGTGGAGGTGTCCTGAGAGTGGAGGTGTCCTGAGAGTGGAGGTGTCCTGAGAGTGGCGCTGTCCTGAGAGTGGAGGTGTCCTGAGAGTGGAGGTGTCCTGAGAGTGGCGTGTCCTGAGAGTGGAGGTGTACTGAGAGTGGCAGGCTGTACTGAGAGTGGAGGTGTCCTGAGAGTGGAGGTGTCCTGAGAGTGGAGGTGTGTCCTGAGAGTGGAGGTGTCCTGAGAGTGGAGGTGTCCTGAGAGTGGAGCCTGCACCGGAACAGTCCTGAGAGTGGAGGCCTGCAGACAGACCCCTCTCCAAAATTCTGACTTTTTCTCAAAATTCTGACTTTTTCTCAAAATTCAGAAATTTTTTTTTTCTCAAAATCTCAAAAGTATGAACATTTTCTCAAAATCTCAAAATTATGACTTTTTCTAAAAATTGACATTCTTCAAAATTATGAATTTTTCTCAAAATCTCAAAATTATGACTTTTTCTCAAAAATCTCAAAATTCTGACTTTTTCTAAACACTTAAATTGTTAATAATCCCTGGTCCCCGTCTTGATCTTCAATCTCAGGATCCATGTACTTGTGATCCTCTCCAGAATGGAAGTAGTCATCACATACAGAGCATCAACTAGTTCCTGAACAGTGTCCTTCACATGCTGATATCCAAGAGAGGGAGTTACACAGTCACAAGATGGAGGAATAGAAAGCAGTATTCAATGTTTACTTCAGATTAGCTCCACGTCAGAAATGAGCATGCTTGTATTTTGACACTAAAATTGACTTTGACTTTGACTTTAAAGACGCCGCTGGACAAAAGCACCACGGGCGTGTCGGAGATCCTGCTGAAGACGCAGATGAAGATGAGTCTGAAGTGCCTGGCGGCGCGCGCGGTGCGGAGGCATCGCATCACGTACCGCAACCAGATCCCCAAAACCCTGGAGGAGTTTGTGGAGTTCCACTGAGCTCTTTCTTCAGAGACTCTTTCTAACTGACACTGAGAACGAGAACCAGGCGCCCGCCAAGAGCTTTTATTAATACAAAAAACATGTCACTTTTTTTCTATTTTTAAGTATTAATCTCTAAGAAGAAGCAGCAGCAGCTGAGAGGACGCTGCTGCAGGGTCTCTGCCTTATCTGCCCGACGACAGCCGCCATTTTCCTTTGAGAGAGAGGGTGAGAGAGTGAGAGTGAGAGGGTGAGAGAGTAAGTGTGTGTGTGTGTGTGTGTGTGTGTGAGAGAGAGTTTGTGAGTGAATGAGAGAGAGAGTAAGTGTGTGTGTGTGTGTGAGAGAGAGTGAGAGGGTGAATGAGTGAGAGAGAGTAAGTGTGTGTGTGTGAGTTTGTGTGTGTGTGCGTGAGTGAATGAGTGAGAGAGTAAGTGTGTGTGTATGAGTGAGAGAGAGTGTGTGTGTGTGTGAGAGTTTGTGTGCGTGAGTGAAAGAGAGAGAGAGAGAGAGAGAGTGAGTGTGTGTGTGTGTGTGTGTGTGTGTGTGTGTGAGAGTTTGTGTGTGTGCGTGAGTGAGAGAGAGAGTGAGACTGAGAGAGTGTGTGTGCGTGAGTGAGAGAGAGAGAGAGAGAGAGAGAGTGAGTGTCTACAGAGAAGCCAACAGACTCGTCTGCTTTACTCTTGATTTGAAATGATTTTCACCGGGTTTTTTTTATTTTCTACTGAAACAGCAACGAGGAGAGAGAATGAGGACGCTTTGATCGGGACAGGAAATGATCTTAAAATCAGCTTTTAGTTCATGTTTTATTAAATGTTCTGCTGGTGACATCATCATTTTCATCTGAAAACTGCACCATGTGGCAATGTGTGTGTGTGTGTGTGTGTGTGTGTGTGTGTGTGTGTGTGTGTGTGTGTGTGTGTGTGTGTGTGTGTGTGTGTGTGTGTGTGTGGTGTGTGTGTGTGTGTGTGTGTGTGGTGTGTGTGTGTGTGTGTGTGTGTGTGTGGTGTGTGTGTGTGTGTGTGTGTGTGTGTGTGTGTGTGTGTGGTGTGTGTGTGTGTGTGTGTGTGTGTGTGTGTGTGTGTGTGTGTGTGTGTGTGTGTGTGTGTGTGTGTGTGTGTGTGTGTGTGTGTGTGTGTGTGTGTGTGTGTGTGTGTGTGTGTGTGTGTGTGTGTCCTTTAGAGCTGCAGACAGTAATATTGTTTGGGTTGTTAAATGTCAGAATGTAGTGATGTCTTCAAATGTCCAAAGAGATTCACTTTCAGATCAAAGAGAGTACGATACGGAGAGGAAAGCAGATTGTATTGTCTGAACGTTAAAATACTTTTATCGAGCACGAAAGATTACCAAAATAATTTATGATTTTTATTTTCAGCTTTTTTGAGATTCCTCGCTTCAGCTTCAGTAATTCTGAGATTTAAGTCTGACTTTTTTTCCACTTAAACAGATTTAAGTATTTTTTTAAAGCCCGAAATCCTAAAATCAATGGAGCATTCACAAGAGGAAGAGGATAGCTTGATTTAAATGATAAATATGATTTGTTTGGTTTTAATTCCCTTCTTTCCTGTTTAATCATGTCGTGATTAATCAGATGTATTTATTTAGTCCTGTTCTGCTGAACGAGGTCACTAAAGACAAAACATCCAAACTCAAAGAGAATCCCATCTAAAGTGCAGTTTGCTGTCCACATGCTTTTGGCCATATAGTGCATGTTTTCAATAGTTTGCCACTTGTGATGGAGACTCTGATGATGTGTGTGCGTGAGCTTTCATGTTGAAGGTCTGAGGACGTCAGCACAGAATGTTTGCCAAGAGATTCAATATATATTTTTTATTTTCCACTGTCGTCCTGAAGTGAAAACACATGATTTTATTTGAATGTTCAGTTGTTCTGATCCTGTGTCTGCATCATTAATGAGGGGGAAATATGACTTTGCATTAAAAACAACTCATTTTTAACGACTGTCTCTGACTTCCTGTTGATTCATTTTAATTCATGCATCCCACTTGATTTATTTTGTTTCTTTAAATACATTTCTGACATTTGAAATCCTCTGGAGCAGAGAGAGGAGCTGTGGGTTGTTGTTATTGATTAATGCATCAGTTGTTTGGCTTTTTAAATGTCAGAAACTGAAAATAAATGTCCATCAGTGTTTCTTAAAGGTGGGGTAGGTAATTTTGGAGAAACCAGCTGGAGTGCACGAGAATTTGAAAATACACAGCCGGAAAAAATCACTTCCTCACAGAGCCCCTCCTCCAACACACACGAACGCACACATGACCAATGAGGGCACCAGATAAGTGTGTGCACAGATGGAAGGCTGACAGGCAGGTAGGCCATCCAGTTATTTTAGCCGGGCCGGCTCAGATGATTGGTCGTGCTTTTTACAGAACTACAGCTTCCACAGATGATATTTATTAATGGATTTATTGTCAAAGCACTTCTGATATTCATTGCTATCGGGATGTTAAGAGCATTCCATGGAATATAACAAAAAGTGTTTCTCAAGCCGGTTTCTCAAACTTACCTACCCCACCTTTAAATCCCAATATCATGACATCAACTGAAATATAGTCAGATATTTTAAAGTAAGTAAAGAAATATTAACTTTTAAGGACTTTTCAGACTTATTTTTCCACAATATACTGACTCAAACTAAAACGTTTTTAAATGTAATATCCATAATAATAACTTATCTGTTGCTTTTTGTTTAAAATGTTAGTTATATCTGCAGTGTCTCCTCTATATCTTGGCTCTGGAGTACGGTGGCCCACAGGTACAAAGAAATATATGAAAGAACTCATTTACAAAAATGGCAGAAAAAAAGTCTGCTATTTGCCGAGATTAAATTCACAAAAGGAGGAGAGAAAAAGGTAAAGTTCTGGGTGAATGGTCAGTGTGAGAAGGGGTGTAGTTCTGCTAGCTGTCCACTAGGTGCTGCTAACTGACCCTCTGATGAAACACAGGTCAGGGTGAATGGTCAGTGTGAGAGGGGGTGTAGTTCTGCTAGCTGTCCACTAGATGCTGCTAACTGACCCTCTAATGAAACACATCAGGGTGAATGGTCAGTGTGAGAGGGGGTGTAGTTCTGCTAGCTGTCCACTAGGTGCTGCTAACTGACCCTCTAATGAAACACAGGTCAGGGTGAATGGTCAGTGTGAGAGGGGGTGTAGTTCTGCTAGCTGTCCACTAGATGCTGCTAACACCCTCTAATGAAACACAGGTCAGGGTGAATGGTCAGTGTGAGAGGGGGTGTAGTTCTGCTAGCTGTCCACTAGGTGCTGCTAACTCACCCTCTAATGAAACACAGGTCAGGGTGAATGGTCAGTGTGAGAGGGGGTGTAGTTCTGCTAGCTGTCCACTAGATGCTGCTAACTGACCCTCTAATGAAACACAGGTCAGGGTGAATGGTCAGTGTGAGAAGGGGTGTAGTTCTGCTAGCTGTCCACTAAGTGCTGCTAACTCACCCTCTAATGAAACACAGGTCAGGGTGAATGGTCAGTGTGAGAGGGGGTGTAGTTCTGCTAGCTGTCCACTAGATGCTGCTAACTCACCCTCTAATGAAACACAGGTCAGGGTGAATGGTCAGTGTGAGAGGGGGTGTAGTTCTGCTAGCTGTCCACTAGGTGCTGCTAACTCACCCTCTAATGAAACACAGGTCAGGGTGAATGGTCAGTGTGAGAGGGGGTGTAGTTCTGCTAGCTGTCCACTAGATGCTGCTAACTGACCCTCTAATGAAACACAGGTCAGGGTGAATGGTCAGTGTGAGAGGGGGTGTAGTTCTGCTAGCTGTCCGCTAGGTGCTGCTAACTGACCCTCTAATGAAACACAGGTCAGGGTGAATGGTCAGTGTGAGAGGGTGTAGTTCTGCTAGCTGTCCACTAGATGCTGCTAACTGACCCTCTAATGAAACACAGGTCAGGGTGAATGGTCAGTGTGAGAGGGGGTGTAGTTCTGCTAGCTGTCCACTAGATGCTGCTAACTGACCCTCTAATGAAACACAGGTCAGGGTGAATGGTCAGTGTGAGAGGGGGTGTAGTTCAGCTAGCTGTCCACTAGGTGCTGCTAACTGACCCTCTAATGAAACACAGGTCAGGGTGAATGGTCAGTGTGAGAGGGTGTAGTTCTGCTAGCTGTCCACTAGATGCTGCTAACTGACCCTCTAATGAAACACAGGTCAGGGTGAATGGTCAGTGTGAGAGGGGGTGTAGTTCTGCTAGCTGTCCACTAGGTGCTGCTAACTGACCCTCTAATGAAACACAGATCTGAAAAAATGAAGAACTTTACACAGAAAAAACTCTTAAATTGGCTTGAGATAAAGTCACACATTTAGGAGATTTTCATTCATAGATACAGCTGTAAATATCAAAATAAAAAGTGAGGTTTTCATAAATACAGCCACAAATTTACAAGACAAAATAAATGTTGCTTAAATAAAATTCACAAATGAATGAGTAAACTACCTAAAAACAATAGTGAGGTTTTGGTCAAGGAGCCAGTTCGCTCTCTTGCAAATTAACCTGTTAAGTCCTGAGCCTGTTTTTCAGGTCTCAGGCTCGAAAATGACATTCCCAGAACAAATGACCATATCTTCCCTTCTAAAAGGGTTAAATTAATAATCTTTTTTCTCAAAGTAATGATAAACCTGTGAGTTGGATGTAGAAAAGTCAGAATCAAAATAGATGTTTTTAATTTTAAAGAAAATTCAGATTGAACATAGTAAAAAACTGTAAATTATAGTGTCCGTCCAAAAATTCTTTTTTACTTATAGTGAAAACTACCCTTGGATGATGGTAAGGTAGACTAAAAGCTTTAGGAATCCAAAGTACAACATATAATAAGTACCCTGTATCAAGATTGATGCAAAACAAGAGACATTTGACCTTTTTAGAGAGATTTAGCAAAAATAAACCACTTCTGGGGTCATTTGGGTGGATTTTCCATATCTCTGGCCCCCCTTGCTCGATTTTGATGGTTGACACCTCTTTCTGACCGTTAGAGCCAATAGAATCGAAGGGGGAGTCCACCACACACACACGTTGTGAAGAGAAAAGGTGGGGGCTTTGCGCATGCAGTTTTGCATCAGAGTGAGCCTATCTCTCGCTCTGACATCTGGAAACGGAAAAGCAGTTTTATTTCTTATGGATTATGAGAAATCATTTCAAAGGGACACAGACACATTGGATTAACCTATGGATTAACTTCAGCAGCGTTTTTATCATTTTAATGCCATTGAAGACCACTTTGGAGAGACTACAGAGACAAGGTAAAAATGTTAGCATTTTTAGCTACCTAGCGTCACCTGTTTT